TATCTTTAAATAATAATAAAACAGTTGGTAGGTTTTTCAATTATCCTATTATAATTGTGAATATAGTTGGTGCATCATATAAAAAATGATGATCTTATAAAAATCTTATGGAGTGTATAAACAGTGTGTTGTTAAAAATATTGAAAATGACAAAAATAAAGAAAAAAATCTAATTCGAACAAACCAGGCTAGTTCAGCTCTTTGAAATAGGTTTTTCATTTGGTTAGTTTCATCATTGGTGTTGATGTTCTTCAGCGGTATTTGATTTTTTAAAATATCGAATTAGACAACGCAAGAAATTTCCATCAAATATGTCAATTTGTTATTATTGAAATTTTCAATCAAATTTAATAATCTGCAAATTAGATTCGATAAAACAAGTCACGCTAAAAAGACTATACCTGTCAAACAAACTTACAATAGAAATATTGGCAAGACAAAATTGTCCATAATTCCCTTATAGTTTCAAAACTCAGCGTAAATCTCCTATTTACATTAAAAATTGCACGGAGCCCCCTTATACTTTCAAAATTGTTGCATGAAATTCCTTGTGGTTTCGAAACTCATTGTAAATTTTTACTTTACTTTTTTAAAAAAAAATGTTTAACGTCCTCTTATACTTTAAAAAATATTGCATGAAACTCCCCCGTACAAAAAATATACTCCCTCCGTCCTGTATTTATATATTTATTTGTTTTTTGCACGGGGTTTTAGAAATATTAGTATTATATTGAGATAAAGAAGAAATAAAGATAAAAAAACTAAAGTAACCCTATTAGTATTGTATAATATAAAAGTAATGACATTAGTGTAATATATTGTAAATTAGAAAGGTATTTATAATATTAGATAAATAGTACAATTACTAAAAAAATCAAATGGATACTTTGTTATGGGACTGACCAAAATGGAAAAATGGATAAATTATTAAGGGACGGAGAAAGCATATAATAAATCATCATCCCATCATACAACGGAGGTTTAGGGTTTATAGGAATAAAGTTTTATGAACATTTTCTAAAATATATGAAAACATCGTATAATTTTTAAAATACAAAGAAATTTTACGTAGAAGTTACTAGCAATTTTATCCATTCATAATAAACTAAGAAGTTTAAAAGGCAAAAAAAAAAAAAAAAAAAATTTGAAAAAGAAAATAACAAAGAAAAAAAAGTCTTACAATTATCCAATAGGACATGACATACAAAGGGTCGACGACACGTCTAACTAACCAATCACATAAAGTGTCGGGGGACACGTGGCATGGTATCTTAACGTGCCTTGTTTTGATTCGTTATGTCTCTTTTGTATTTTTCCTATTGTTATAATTTCAATGCCCTTTTGTAAATAAAATAAAATAAAATAAAAAATAAAATGTTATCCTTTCATTAACAATAAATATTTTAATGGTTATGAATAAAACTGTGAGGGAAAATAATCCACATATATGATTTTTTTTTTGAAATTATTAACAAAAATAATTAATTGATGGTTGAGAAATTAAAGTAATATCACGTGACTGTGAAACAGATCACGGATCTTGGCTTTAATTAATAATGTCATTAATATCCAGTGTGATTTTATTTCTCCTGTCTAATTTCCATGTTACTAAGTTTAATTGAAAATCTATCCATAATGCATTCGAAATATAGTTGTCACGAATTTTCACGTTATAAAATAAAATTAAAAAAAAAAATCACTTGTATACTAATACTCCCTCCGTCTCATGTTGAATGTCTGAGTTACGGTAGACACGGAAATTTAAAATAAATATAATTAGTAGATAATTAAAAATATATTAATAAAAATAATTATTTTATAATATAAATAATTATAAATTAAAGTTAAGATAACTAATTAGTTTAATTAAAACTAAAAAAAATTAAATTAGAAATTTTAAAATGATATTAAAGTGTATAATCATTTTCTTAAAAAAAATAAAATGACATGGGATGTAAGACTGACAGAAACGGCAATGTGGACATGGTAGGTGAGACAGAAGAAGGAGTATAACACAAGTCAAGTTATACTCTCTCCGTCCAGTTATAGAATATACATATTTCTAATTTTTATTGTTCAATTATAAAATAATTATTTCAAAATATCTATTTTTTTTTTCACAAATCTTTTTATTTTATCATCACACCATACTTTTACACTAAAATGCAAATACAAAATTATCTTTATACTACTTTTAACTACAAACTATAATTAAAATATTATTATTTTTTAAATTTTACGTCAAAAATAATGTATATTTATAACCGAACAGAAAGAAGTTTTATTTATGTTACTCCAATTTATATTTATCTTTTATCTTTTTTTTTTCTTTTGATATTATACAAAAATATTTTTTATTTTTAATAAAAAGATAATGCACGATTTTCTTATTTTTACTGTAAAAATGACAAAATTAAAAATTCATACTCCCTCCGTCCCATAAATATAGTCTTAATTAGGTTGGATACGAGATTTACGGAATATTGATATTATATTAATAGTTGGTAAAAAGTATGAATAAAAGACTTTTTGGCCCTTGTGAGTGTATTAATGTAAAAAGTAGTCATAATTGTGTAATAAAAATAAAAAAGTAATGGTAGTTTTATGGTAATATAGTTATTTATGGAAATAAGACTATTATTTTGAAACAGACAAAAATGGTAAACAAAACTATTGTATCGAGACGGATGGAGTATTTAATTTTGAACTAAAAAATCTAAACATATAGTTGGATAATAGAAGATATAAAATATTATTATTTTAACAATGTAAAAATAGAAGTGTATTTGTTTTGTATTCTTGAGTGAAGATATATTCTTGATATTAGTAATGGGAATGGTTAGTATACAAAATAATTTTTTTAAGTGAATCTAATATATATTGTTTCTTCCATCAAATTTATTATTATTTTTTTTAGTCTTATAGTTAAATTTACTATTTATAACAAATGTTACTTTTGTCATTTTTTTTTTTAAAATACCACAATTTTTTTTGATAAAATATTTATTTATTTTTAATACTCTTACACATAATAATAAGAAGCTCTTATAAATGCAAAGAGTTTCCACGTGTTTATATCAATAAAATAATACGAGCATCATGACTCTAATACTATATTAAAGTGGAGTGTTCTCCATTGTTATAAAAAATAAAAATAAAAATACATATTTCCCAATATAAGATAATATTCAATACTATATTTATTAGTAACTATATAAGGTTGAACACACCTAAAATTTAAAATTTCAAGGAAACAACCATCCAATTCAATTTGGAATTGGAATTAGGCGAAAACATAAAATACGTTTTTTGTTATATAATAATGGTAAGTAGAGATATATATACATATATATATATAGTGTCGTGTATTACTCTCTCCGTCCAGTTAAAAAGTATACATATTTCTATTTTGAGACGTCCAATTACAAAGTAACCATTTCATTAAATACCTCATTTTTTCACAAATACCCCTACTTTACATCACATCATTACTTTTATACCAAAAAAGTAAGGGCAAAAATGTCATTTTACTACTTTTACCTACCCACTATAATTAAAATACTATTATTCCTTAATTTCTGCGCCAAAAGTAATTGTATACTTTTAGCTTGGACGGAGGGAGTATATAACAGTATATGTATGTATATATGTGTATTACTTCCTCCGTCTCAATACAATAGTTTTATTTATCATTTTTGTTCATTCCAAAACAATATCACTATAAAATTACTTATACTTTTTTATTTTTATTACACAATTGTCATAGTTTTTTAAACTAATACACTCACAAAGGTAAAAAAGTGTTTTAGTTATACTTTTTACCAACTACCCATATAATATTAATATTCCTTAAATCTCGTGTCCAATCCAATTAAAACTATCATTCTGCAACGGAGGAAGCATTATACTCCCTGCGTCCCATAATAAAGTATCAATTTTTCCATTTTAGTCTGTCCCATAACAAAGTATCAATTTCATTTTTTAAGTAACTGTACTATCTACCTAACATTACAAATACCTTTACAATTTACAATATATTACACAAATGTCATTACCTTTATATCAAATATACTAATAAGGTTATTTTAGTCATTTCTACTTTATTCCTACTATATCCTAATATAATACTAATATTTCTAAAATTACGTGTAAAAAGCAAATGGATACTTAGTTTCGAGACGGAGGGAGTATATATATTTAAGTATGATGCATTACCCAATTTAATAGAGAGAGTCCGTGAGAGGGAGAGAAAGTAAGGAAAATGTAATTAGATCTTGTTCTCATACAACAATATATATATATAGAAGCTATAAAAGGGTAATAAATGGCTATGATAGTGCCAACGAAACATTACATATCATACACGAATTAGATGATAAAACATTCACATGATGTTTACGTCGACATGATTTGTATAACAGATTTTGCCTAATAAGTGATGCGTTGAAATTATAAGCAGTGATATAAATAAATAAGGGTAAATTATATAATATTTATTTTAATAAAAATACACAAAATACTATGTATTTTACTAAAAAAATATAAAATATTTTTTAATAAAATAAATAAATAATCAATCATTTATTTTTATAATTTTTGTAAAAATTGAATAATAATTTATCTCTAAAAAATTATAAAATAAAGAATTAATTAATTATTTATTTATGTATTTATTTATTTTATTTAAAAAAATATTTAAAATATTTTATATTTTTATGTATTTGAATAAAAATTATTTATATTTTCATGCAAATTTTACATTAACAGAAGATCTGACACAATACATAAAAACAACCTTAACAGATGTATTTTGTACACTTTTACTAACGTATAAAAAAATATTATATAATTTAATATTATATAATTTAGCCTATAAATAAAAATACAGTCCAACTGCATTTGACTGCAGGAAAGAGTCACCGGACCCAATGCTCGGGTTTCCAACTAATTAACATTAATTAATTAATTGATTTTAATTAAGCTTGATAATCCCAAAAGTTTACTTCAATCCAGAAAATGCAGCGAATAAAGAACATCAGCGCACCACAGTAGTCGCACCCGAAATTCAAATTTCTTGGTCGCTTCTGCACCATCCTCAAGGAAGGGAAGGGACAGCTCGAGAGCACGACAATGGGTTTCTTCTCGTTCCTCGGAAGGGTGCTCTTCGCTTCAATTTTCATCCTCTCTGCATGGCAAATGTAAAATTGCAATTTTGTTTTTCAAGTTTTTTGTTCGAATTTCTTTTGTTTTTTCGTGTTTCTCGTAATTAGATCTGTTGATTGTGGAGTTGATACTGCCTCCTTTGTGTTCGCCGCGGCGTGTTGCAGATCTAGCTCTTTTCCGTAGCCTTTGTATATATGAAGAAATTACGTAGACGTGAAGCTTGATTTTGCTGTCTTTGTTGAGATTTAGATTCAGTTGTGAGTGAAACGATTCGTCACGTAAAGCTATAACTTGAAGTGTTTGGGGTTTGCCGTTAACAGCAAAAATGAATAGGATTTTTAGGGCAATTTTATGATTAGTTTGTTTTCTTTCATTGATAAGCTTTTTGTTTCTGAAATTCGAATCATAGTTTCCATCTGAGCCAAATTACTCTCTCTCTCTCTCTCTCTATATATATATATTATATTTGTTGTATCTATAAAGAGTATAGCATAATCATATTGTAGCCGTTCATTTGCAGAATCATGGAACTCAATCATATACTAAAATCTATTGACTTGTATTAATTTGAAATATAGGTTTTTTTGTTTGTGGGATTGGGTTTTTGGATTTGGAATTTTGAATAGTAAAAAGTTGAATTTGAATAGCCGGTTGATGTGATATTTTTTAATGTAAAATACATTTATGGTATAATATTAGAAAAAAGGTAATTGTTTGATGTGACAGTGGAAGGAAACAAAAATTTGAATAGTAAAAAATATGTTGGAAAATCCACAAAGAACACATTTCGGCATAGAGTAATTTAATCCGAATTTAAGAAGGTTGGTACTGAAGTTGATTATTTGTGATTTCATGACTTGTCTCTGTGCCTTGTGTGATTATTCAATGCTAAGAAGTTGTTTTCATTTATGTTTCTGTAATGATACTTAACCTAGATTCGAGGTAATTTAAGAACATGAAGTTCGAAAATTATAAGAATGCGTGATCTACCTTGGATAGTTTATTTAAGCTTTTCTCAAATTTGGTATGTTCTTTTTTCGACAATTTTAAGAGTAGTGTTCTTCCATGGATAGTTTATTTAAGCTTTTCTCAAATTTGGTATGTTCTTTTTTTGACAATTTTAAGAGTAGTGTTCTTCCATGGATAGTGTATTTAAGCTTTTCTCAAATATGGGATGTTCTTTTTTCGACAATTTTAAGAATAGTGTTCTTCCATGGATAGTATATTTATGCTTTTGCCTAACGCGTCCAGTGTGTTCAACATGTTCTGTTTTTCCTATTTCTTTCACATCAAAAAGTATACCTCGATCACTGTTTAAAATAGCTCTGAATATTTGGATTTTAGTCGTAAAAGGAAAAGAAATAGGAAAAGGAAATTGTTATACAAGGCTTTGTTAATGTATATTGTTGAGGTAGGAGAATGTTTTAATGCAACTGTCAGGTGAATACACGTGCGAATCCATGACCCGACTATACTATAGCTAGTGAAATTATGACATGGTGCAATGCATGTTGTCTCCCTCGCTCGTTATGTAATATTATCTTGCAAGAGCCTTCTTCTGTTTAAATTCCATACGAGCAAAACCTTAATGGCAATGTTGCAATGAAAATGTTCAATCACCTCCCGATTGCATTATTTTCCTTCTTTTGAAAGACAAGTTGTTCAATTTCAGGTTTAATGAATTCGGAGAGGACGGTGGACCTGCAGCAAAAGAATGGACTCCAAAACTAGCTCTTGTCAAGAACCATATTGATGGAATTATTGGAAAAAACAACTTCCAGATTGATGTATTGCTCGAATCAATTTGACACATCTTACATTTGTCTCTCTGAAATGTTGTCTGCTCACATCTACATTTTACAGGCGAGGACTGTCATTGCCGCCAGTATTTTTCTCAAGGGATTAGGGGGCATCTTATTCGTACTCGGCAGCAATTTCGGCGCTTATCTTCTGGTCATAGCGACTCCCTTACATTCAATATTCCAGAAAATCTACGACAAAGTTAACAGAGTTTCTTACTTTATTCCTGCAGATGCATTATTTGATACCGACAACTCCATTGCTCTACGATTTTTACAACTACAAAGCCGGGGATCCCACATTTTTTAGACTCCTACAAGAATTCCTTCAGGTATGATCTACACAACTGGCGATTCGGCTGCAGCATTGCTTGCGATTGTAGTTTTCTCATATAAAAGTTATTCGGGTTTGCAGTGTGTGGCGTTTGTGGGGGCGCTGCTGTTCTTCGTCGGAATGAAGAACTCGATATTGAGAAAGCAGTTGAAAAAGAACCAAAAGGCTAAGACAGCTTAAGCTTAATTCAGGTTAGTTAGATCAGTTTATTATTATCATTGGGATGGAAAAGAAAAGGTTAGGATTCGAGTTGGGAAATGAAATATGTTTGTGGTATAATTTTTGAATCTGAATTTATTTCCATTTGTATGAGGACATCATGTATCTGTTCTTTTCAGTGGTGTTTTCAATTTTGTGGGATTTATGTCGTATTGAAAATTGTACAAGTGTTAAAAAAGAGAATTGGGACGTTGCTTAAACCTCTGTGACTCATTATTCTTTTTTCTTAAGCAACTTTAGTAAAAATGTAATTAATTTACAATCATTTTACTTCATCAATAAATTTTAGTTTTTACTATAAAAAGTAATACTCCCACCTGTTCCATTCAAATGTTATCATTTTTCATTTTCGTTCGTTCCAAAACAAGGTTTTTATTTTCTAATTTAGTAATTGTACTGTCTAATACCTTTTCAAGACAGATGTCGTTACTTTTATATTACACCGTACTAATAGGAGTATTTTTTATCTTTTTTACTACAATTCAATATAATACTAATATTTAAAAATCTACATGCAAAAAACAAACGCCACCCTTCCAGCCACCGTTCCAACTAGACGAATGGAGTATATATTTTATATATACTCTTAATTTACTATTTTTGTCTCTCTTAAAACAATAGTTTTATTTTTATGAATAATTATATCATCATAAAATTCTCTATATTTTATTATTATTATTACACAAATATCAAAAAAGGTTTTTTTTTATTTATAATTTTTACAAATTACTAATATAATATTAATATTCTTTCAATCACATCTCCAACATAATTAAAACTATATATGTGAGATGGATAGAGTATTTCTCTATATTATTTTATATAATTTTTATATTTATAAATTAATCAAATTATATTTATTTTTACATTATCATAAAAATATATATAATTTATATTAAAAAAATCAATATAATAATATATTTATTTTTTCATAAAAATCAACAGTTGAATACAAAAATATTATTTTTTATATAACACAATCTTTTATACTTTATATTAAAAAAACATCTCAAACTAGAAAATACAAAACAAACATACTCTATGGACTTTTTTTATGAAACACTAATACTGTTTTTTTAAGAATATTGTCAAGAAAGACTATGTGTACAAAATTTTCATTTTTGTTTTAACGGATTTATCGAATTTTATTAAGTTAATTATATATATTAAACAATTTTTTTTTTTTAATTTTAAATCTAAATTTTTATTTAAATATAATATTTTATTAAAAAAATATTTTTTAATTATTATTATAATTTATTTTCTTAACATTATTATTATTTTGAATAGAATATTGGTTTATTTGACTGTCGTTATTATTATTATTAAATATTTCAGATAAAAAGTTAATACTATTATTAAAAATATATAAAAATTATACTGTTTAAATAATTGTATCAAAAGTAAAACAAGTATTAAATTGGACGGTGATAGTATATAAATACGTGACAATAAAAAATTATATATGTGTTTGGTTGAGAGTTTGAACTTTGAATATATATATATAAATAGATATTGATATAATATTTTTAATATGATTTAATTTTTAATATAATAAAAAAAATAAAAAAATAGATATTTAGTTTGATATTTTAAAAAATAAAATAAAATAGTAAATGGTAAAATATAGGCAAAATTCTCCAATCATACACATATGTACCATTTGTTTGCTTTTAGTTTTGGTTTGAATTTCAGGGTGTGTTTGGTAGATTCGGAAAATTGAGTTTGAGTTTGAGTTTGAATTAGATTTGAATTTTAAAATGAGTTTCGACTTTTGTGTATCTTTAAATTTGTAGGTTTAGTTTGAGTTTTGAGGATATGATGTGTATTGATTTAATAGATTGTAAATGTAACGATATATATGTGTATTAAATTAAATTTATGGAATTAATAATTATATGATTTGAATATTATTTTATCTTAATTATAAATAAATATTTAGATTTTTTATTTATTTGTATTGTATAAAATTTTATTATCTACAAAATTAAATACTTCCTCCGTCCTGTTGGAAGATTACCGTTTTCTATTTTCGCCCTTCCCAAAACAAGGTTACAATTTTCTAAGTTAGTAATTGTATTACCTATTTAACATAATAAATACCCTTTCAATTTACAATATATTGCACAAATGCCATTATTTTATATTATACCGTACTAATAGGGGTATTTTTGTTTTTTTTTTTACTACAATACAATATAATACTAATATTAAAAAATATATGTGCAAAACACCATCCTTCCAATGAGACAAAGGGAGTATGTATTTTATATATTTTATTAAATTATAATTATTAAAATAATAAAAAATCAATTTGCCGGAGTTTTGCACATCTCTCGTAAGTTTTGAATATTGAAATTTTGAATTTGATATAAATAATTGTTGATGTAATATTTTGAACGTAACATTAATTTTTAATGTAGTATAAAAAAATAATTATTTAATTTTATATTTTTGTAGAAAAAATATTTATTAATTATAAATTTTTGTTAATATTCCCAAACCAGTACAACCTTATTTATATTGTGCTTGTTAGTTTCAATAACATTTTTTAAAAAATAAAAAATAAAAAGCCTGAAGTGCATTAGGCCCATTCCAAAGTTGTCAGCAGTAGGGTGGGCCACGTAGCCCAATAAGCTCAAACTCATAACCCTTTTGCTGCATCACGACGTCGTTTTAGCTTCACAGAATATACTTCCATGGCGCCGAATACAGAAACAAAACCCGCCAAAATTACCACTCTCAAAATCCTTGGCGCCACTTTTTCCTCCATAAAATATTCACCATTTACCATTTACCATTTACCGCTCCTCCACGCTTCCTGCCATTTCAATTCCAAACCTTCCCTACAAATTTATAGGTATTCAAAACCTCTTCCACCCCTTCGTGTTCCGTCTGTTTCCCTTTCATAGCTTGTGCCCTAACGATGGACATGGAGAAGAAGCCTGCCGGAAAATTGGAATCGGAATCGGAACTTCTGACGAAGGTTGCATCGGCGGTCGGATCAGAAGTCTCGAAGGTCGACATTCTCAAAGCTCTATTTCGATCGGACAACAACTTCGACGCCGCCATTAATCTATTGCTCCATCCTCCCCAAGTAACCGCGCAAAAGACTGTGACGCCCACCGGCGGCGCGAGAATCTCCACTCTTCTGATAAACTCATCAACAGCTACCGAAATAGGCGAAGAAAAACCTACCGATGCGTTGGTAACAACTCCTGTGAAAATCGAAGCAGAGAGCGGAGTGGAGAAATCTCCGACTGAAAAAAGCTCGATAGATTTGGTAAAATCTGAAATTAGAGTGAAAGAGGAGCCTAATGTAGAGGCGAAAAGTTTGATTGCAGTTAAACAGGAATCGGAGAAGGCTATGGTGAATGCACAGCCATTAACAGCCAGAAAATTGACAGAAGACGAGTACAGAAGGATTCAATCTAGGGTTCATGGAGCTAAGTCGAAAGCTGATCAAGAGGATAAAAAAATGGCATTAAGCTGTTTGGTGATTGAGGATGGAGACTTCGCCGAAGAGCCAGACTGGTTGTTGGTAGGGCGGACGGTAATTGCAGGCCTTTCGACTACAAAAGGAAGGAAATTAGAGAACAATGAGATCGTCCATTTCAGTTTTCCGAGCAGCGATCCGAGGAGTAAGAGCAGTGGTTTCTTCATGAGTTCGAAAGCTGCTAATGCTGCATCGAGCATTGTTCGATTCTCGACAAGAAGATTCGGAGAGGTATATATATATATATATTTAAGAACATATCAATGGTTGATCTTGAAAGGTTGAGGATCCTTGTTTGATGATTGATTTGATTTGTTAGATAAAATTCTTGTGTTTGTGGTATTATTAGATTGGTCGTTTGCCGATGGAATGGTCGAAATGTGTCGTCCCTCTTGTGAATTCTTCGAAGGTGAAAGTTCTCGGTCGATGTATAGCTGGGCCGATTAATCTGACTTTGATGCAAGAGATCATGTTATATGTGAGGTATATAGTTATTGCGTTGCTCGTTTTCGTGTTTTGGTTATATCGAATATTGATGTATGCTGATTGTGTCGTTAGCTTTTACATCCATCGATCGGTGTTTACAGTTGAGGGCAATAGGTCGAGCTGGAAGCTCGAGCCTACTAATATCGACGCCACGACGTATCCTCTCTTGACATTGTTTAAACTGCTGAAACTCAAGTCATTTCAGAAGGTTTGCGAATATCTTCCATAGTTTTCGATTCTTGCTTCGCTTGCTTATTCTGCATCCATTGTTCGACAGGCGGAGTTCACCCCGGAAGAGCTCGATTCTCGGAAGCGTTCGCTGAAATTAGATGTACGTTGACGATATACACTATATATCTGTGTATGCGTCGCGGTTCTTGTTTATAAAACTGCTGTTTTCTTCTTACAGGGTGATTTCGACGACACTGCCGGAGTCTTGCCTTCGATGAAGAGGCAAAAGGGTTGCCAGCAACTTCAAGGGCACGAGAAAGACGAGCAGGCGATTACTGAATCATCATTGAACAAGCTTGTAGGCGCCGTCGATATGTATAACTTAGAGGTAGAATCGACGACTAGCTATTTTTATTTGTCGACTGTTATCGTAGCTGTTGTAAACTTAGCGTAATGTTCTCGATCTTTAGGAAATGGAACCTCCGGCGACGCTTACTTGCGACTTGAGGCCCTACCAGAAGCAGGCGCTGCGCTGGATGTCGGGATTGGAAGAAGGCGCAAGCGTCGAAGAAACAGAGAAGACTCTTCATCCTTGCTGGGAAGCTTATCGCGTCTGCGACGAGTATGGAATATAGCGTTCGTTCGACTATTTGTTTTCGATGAGTTTATACGTATGTTTGATCTTATGTTTGTTCTTGATAGGCGAGCTTCGACTATTTACGTCAACGTCTTCTCCGGGGAGGCGATGACGCAGTTTCCAGCAGCGACGCAGATGGCTCGAGGAGGGGTGAGTCTTTTGTTTCGATCGTTTGTACGATTAGTTTATCGCGGGATTTGTAGCTTTCGAATTGACGAGATTACGACGCAGATTTTGGCGGACGCAATGGGGCTCGGGAAAACTGTGATGACGATCGCGCTGATCTTGTCGAGAAAAGGCAAAGGCGTTCGAGAAGATCGAACTGCGCTTGAAGATTCGACTCGGAAGCCTAAAGCTGGCACCCTCATCGTCTGCCCGATGGCTCTACTCGGACAGTGGAAGGTGAGCTCGAAAAACCAATTTTAAGATATGGTATACGATGTTGATGCGATGTTTCGTTCGATAGGATGAGCTCGAGGCGCATTCGAAGCAAGACAGCGTATCGATCTTCATTCATTACGGTGGGGACAGAACCGCCGATCCTAAGGCGATAACCGAGCACGACGTGGTCTTGACGACCTATGGCGTATTGTCAGCATCGTATAAACGTGTAGGAATCTTACATTCGACGACGACGACAATTTCTCTTTTACGTCGGATATGCAGTAATGTTCACGGTTTGGCTGCAGGATTCGGTCGACAGCATCTTCCAGAGAGTCGAATGGCACCGCGTGGTGCTCGACGAAGCCCACACAATCAAATCGTCGAAGACTCAGTGCGCTCAAGCTGCGTTTGCGCTATCCTCGTACTGTCGATGGTGTCTCACCGGCACTCCCCTTCAGGTACCGTCAGTTAGGCGCAGCCAGACCAATTCACTCTTCGATGTCTATTTCCACTGTCTTTATAAGAACATCGTTGTCTGTTTCAGAACAATCTCGAGGACCTTTACAGCCTTCTTTGTTTCTTGCACGTCGAGCCGTGGTGCAACTGGGCATGGTACTCAGTTGAAACTAACATGTTCGAATAATCGAAATCCATTTGCGACGCAAGTAATTGATCCTTTCTTACATTTCAGGTGGAACAAACTGATTCAGAAGCCGTACGAGAATGGCGATCTGCGCGGTCTGAAGTTAGTTAAGGCGATCCTGAGGCCGCTGATGCTGAGACGTACTAAAGAGTCGAAAGACAAAGACGGGAGGTGATCGTAGTTTCTTACAATGTCGTAACTTTTGGTAATCTCCAGATGTAATCTAATCTGTACTGTGTGGTTTCGATTCAGGCCTATCCTCGTTCTCCCGCCTGCGGATATCCAAGTCGTCGAATGCGAGCAATCTGAAGCCGAGCATGACTTCTACGACGCCCTTTTCAAGCGATCCAAGGTAAATCCTGCGCAAAAAAAACATCATTGATTGTTCAATGTCTGAAATTGAACTGTCCGTGTAGGTTCAATTCGACCAATTCGTCGCGCAAGGAAAAGTCCTCCACAACTATGCCAACATCCTTGAGCTCCTCCTCCGACTGCGACAATGCTGCAACCATCCATTCCTCGTCATGAGGTAATAACCAACGCTGTGTCCTAATGCCGCGCTCTGTAATAATACTAAATCGTCGATCATCTTGTCTTCTACAGCCGAGGCGACACACAAACGCACGCAGACTTGAACAAACTCGCCCGAAGGTTCCTCCAGCCGACCTCCTCGGATCTGACATCGCATGCGCCTCCTCGGGCTTATGTCGACGAAGTCATGGAAGGTCTGAAGAATGGCGAGAACACCGAATGCCCGATTTGCCTCGAGTCGGCAGACGACCCTGTCCTGACGCCATGTGCTCATCGAATGTGCCGGGAATGTCTCCTCTCCAGCTGGCAATCGCCGGCCTCCGGATTATGCCCGATCTGCCGGCAAGTTATGAAGAAACAGGAACTCATCACTTGCCCTACCGCAAGCCGTTTCAGAATCGATGTTAATAGCAACTGGAAGGAATCATCGAAAGTATCTAAGCTCATGGATTGCCTGGAATGCATAAGAGAATCGAGATCAGGCGAGAAAAGCATAGTGTTTAGCCAATGGACTTCGTTCATGGATCTTCTAGAAATTCCTCTCAAGCAGAGAAACTTCGAGATCTTAAGATTCGACGGCAAATTATCGCAGAAACAGCGCGAGAAGGTTCTACACGAATTCGCTGAATCCAGCACCAAATCGGTAAAATTTAATATCATTAGCTACCTCAAACTCATCAATCGATTGTGAATTTGAAAAGCTCGATGAATTAATTAATTGATTACCTGTTCGTCGACTGTATAGGTGCTTTTGATGTCGCTCAAAGCAGGCGGCGTAGGGTTGAATCTCACCGCAGCTTCTAATGTCTTCCTAATGGTGAGAATCGTCGTTTTTTGAACTGCGTACGCTTCGTTGTTGCTCTCTGCCATGTCTGATTGCTTGCTTGAGTTCGTGCCTGTGCAGGATCCATGGTGGAATCCGGCGGTGGAGGAGCAAGCGATCATGAGAATCCACCGGATTGGACAGAAGAGGACTGTTCGTGTGCGACGATTCATCGTGAAGGAGACGGTGGAGGAGCGGATGCAGCAAGTGCAAGCGAGGAAGCAGCGGATGATCGCCGGAGCTCTCACCGACGAGGAAGTCCGGTCGGCCAGGATTGAGGAGCTTAAAATGCTTTTCCGGTGAACGGCGAAAAAACAAAGGCCATAGTTTTGAATGGGCTCAATTTTGTATAGCGTTATGCCTAACTTGGGCCTACTTGAAGCCCAATATTGGCCCAGTTTATGAGCCCATTAAACTGCAATTTATTTGTTGATTGGTTCTCGTTTTCGATATGTTTATTCATAATTTTTTTTTATTCTTGTACGGATGTTTTTATTTTAAATATTATATTTAATTTGTTGAAATACTACGTGCTCCTTTTCTTTTGTTTTTTAACAATTTATTAATTTTTTTAATTTGATTTCTTAACAAAATATTTATTTTTTTTGTTTTTAGTAATTGTATTATTTATTTAATATTACAAATACATTTTCAATTTATAATATATTATACAAATATCGTTACTTTTATATCATACAATATTAATAATGGAATTTTAATATTTCTTTTTAATTTCTACTATAAATAAATATAAGATAAAAGGAGTATTTATAATTGTACGACAAAATAACTATTATAAATATAATATATTCTATTAAATATAAATGTGTCTAACTCAAAAGTGACTAGAAGTTATGATTGAGATCTTTGATGAACTAATTTGAATTTGTCAAAATTGACTTAAAAGTTATGTAATTGAATTATTCACTAAATTAGACTTAGAAATATAATTCTCAAGTCCATTAGAGTTTGAAAACATGACTTATTCAGTCAAAATGGAACTAGAGTTGAAAACTCACTTACAATGAAATTGTAGTCGAAAATAGGATTAACTCACTTTTAACATAGCTAACGTCGAAAACATGACTCGTTTCGCTCACAATAGTGCTAGATTCGGAAAACAGAAGTCTTGCCAATGGATATCAAAATAACAACGAAAACGTTATAAAAATGACAGCATAATCGTGGATAAAAGCAGATACATTAATAAAAAATATATATATACATAATTATTAGTCCTAAATATTTTGGGCCCCCGAAGATGATAGCAGTCCACATCGGAGGAGCGGATGAACTGGCCCAAATATCCCTAGTCCAGCCCAACATTGTGAAAAAATCAAATTTGGAAAGTAGATAAATAGTATGGATAAAGTTTGGAGGGGTTGTGAATAATTGATGAGTGGACTAGGTAGTTAAACACAAATAATGAATAAAGTTGTGATATAAAAGAGAAAAGAAGGGACCATTAGGGATGGAAATGTGTCACAACAGACTTTGGCTAAATAAGTCAGACATATTTTGAAGAACTAAGACTATTAGCCTGTAATAAAATGATCATAAAAGTTTTTAAGCCGTCTATTTAAAAGTTTATATAATAATTATTTTTTTAAAAAAAATTCAATCTTAGTAAAAAAAATATATAAAATGCAATAATTATTTGTATGTATATATAATTATAGTTAAAATAAATCAATTTTGTATTTGATTATTATCACTAAATTATTTTTTTTTTAAAAAAATATATAAATACTTTAAAATATACTAATGTTATATATTAAATAAAAAAATATATAAAAATAGGTCTGATAGGCCTAAATTTTTTTATTATATTTTTATTTTTTAAAAAAAATGTTGAAAAAATTATTATATCGCGAAAATATCAACTAATTATCGAAAAATAAAATTCTATAACAAAATTATTTATCGAAATAAATTCGATAATCAATAATAATTTATTGAAATAAATTCGATAATCTCAATAATTTTATCGAAATAAATTCGATAATCAATTTATCAAAATAAATTTGATAATCACAATAACTTTATTGAAATAAATTCGATAATCATCACAATAATTTATTGAGTGGGGTGGAGAGGATTAGAGAGGAAGAACTCCTGTTGGTGTAATAACATTTAATTTGATAATATTGTTTTGTTTAATATTTATTTGAAATGTATTCTTATTTGACTTAAAATGTAATTTGAATTTTTTTAGAAATTTTCATACATAATATAATTTGATAATATTTAATGTACCAAAGTAAATATTATAATTTGATAATTTGAATTTTGAGAATGATATTTATTTGTGAGTTTTTAATTTTGAGTTTTGATTATAAATAGTAAAATTTTGAATTGAAATAATTCGTGATATAAATATGTATTAATACTATTGAATATAAAATTATTTAAATATAATATAATAAAATAAAAACTATTTGATTTAATATTTATTGGAAAAAAATTGAAATACTAAAATCAAACATAAAAAAAATCTCACAATTTGCTAAGTTAATAGGTGAACATACATGCGTTTTTATTGTGACTGTAATAATTTTTAAATTTGAAATTTTGAACACTAAAAGTTTAAATACTTATTTAATACTATAATATAAATTAATATATATAATATTTTAAATAAAAAAATAGTTTTTAATTTAATGTACAAAATAAAAAATAAATATTGAATTTAATATTTTTGAAAAAAAATAAAAAATAAAATAAAAATCTTGTAATAAAAACACAGGTATGATTTTTCAATCAAATGTAACCAAATTTATGCGAGGGCATATTTCTTTTAATTTCACTGCATTTCAGTACATCTTCCATCATTGTATTTCACCTCACCCCAATTTTGGGTGTGTTTGTTTGAGGATTTGAATTTTGAATTGAAATTTTAAATAGTAAAAATTTTGAATTTAAATAATTGTATGATATAATATAAATAAATGTTAATGTGAATGTTTTGAATGTAAAATTAATTTTTAATATAATATAAAAAATAAAAAATAAGTGTTTGATTTGATATTTTTAAGAGAAAAATAAGATGAAGAGTGTATTTAAAATCCAACCCCCAAACAAACACACCCTTAACAAATTGAATTCAATTTTCATGTTTGCCTATTCAATTGCCTACATGAATTAATTATACGTCGCAGTTTGAAGTTCTGTACTTAAACTAAAAATATTCTTATATTTATATAAATATTTTTGTACAAATATCATTATAATAATATTATAAGATATTAGTAAAAATATTTTTGTTATTTTCTCCTAATTTTACTACATTTGCATATAATAATTAATATTAAAAAAATCAGCGTACAAAAACTAAATGAAACCCTACGCCGAAACCTGAGGTGGTACTATCTTCGCAATGCAATCTTTAGTTTAACTATTATAGTCCAAAATAAACAAAAAAATTTAATAATATGATCCACAGCTAATCACATAAGTAAATAAATCTTGAATAAGTAGCCTTATAGTATCTTAAAATCCTTTATGGTTAAAATCTATTGTTTTATTGCAATAAATATGAAAAAGAAAAAAAATAAAAAATAAAATCTTTTAAAATACTATTAACCAAAACTCTTGGATCAATCAAAATTAGTAAGTATATTAATGTATTTTCCAAACCTCACCTCCATCAAGTAGCATTAAAGCAAAAACTCCTCCAAAGAAGATTTTAGAAATTTTGTCGAAACGAATAATCATCAAGTGGCACTCTTTCCAGATTCACGAACTCCGAATGCCTTAGTGAGGACAGTAGAAGTTGACATAAAAATCCAAAGGTCACCCACCATTTCAAAAAGAACCTAACCTGACCTAATCCTCATCCATCCCTGCAGGTTGTTGGTCCCTCCTCGGACCACCGGCCGGTTTTGCCATTATGATCTGCATGCGAAACAAGAATGATGACATTTTACCAAGCAAAGAACAAATGAGTAACTTGCTAATGTAAATTCTACATGGAATTAATCATTTTGACAACCCCAAAGGCAATATGCACTCGTCATCATACTGCTGGAATCAATTAACCATTGCTCTAAGTATAACTGACACTTTGCAGAAATTTGGCAATTATAGTTCCTACGTCCAGTGAATCAAGGGAGAATATATTATAAGTGCCAAATTAACTACTATAAAAAACGGAAACAATGCACATTTCTTTCAAACATGATTGTTCAATTAATTTACAACCCATATATATATATATATATATATATATCAACAAACTAGATCGAGCACGTTTTGTAGAACATTTTCTGAAAAATCAGTTTGTTGAGTAAAAGCTGAAAAGGAAGCAACCTTCAGAGTTGTGATAATAAAAAATAAGGGCATAGCCACATAATGAAAGTTCTTTACCTGATCGACACGCAGAACAGTACAGGCAGCATCAGCTGCATACTTCAGGGCAAAGAATCTGCAAAAAAACAAAATTTCCATTAATAAGCTAGTAAATGATAGCGATTACCAACTCGGCTGGTTGAATCTTCAACACAAATGGCTGACGTCCACACATTGGCACCATGACAATGATGCCACTTAAGATTCAAGCACATATGACATAAAATAGATTGGATGGGTTTATACTTTATAAATTTAAAAACAAGTATGCATAGGCTGGAAACAGCAGTTTCACATAGAGTGAGACTTGGGAAATTATACAGTTGTCCAGATTACACTGCACTAATAATTTCCATAAATCGCATCGCTTGCAATTTAATCTAATATTTCAATGAAAATAAATAATTAAGCATCAACATGAAAAATGGCCAGAAAAAATGTAGGCACAGTTGTATGGACATCAGTTCGGACAATATGTAACCAATATATTTACTTGTATCAAACAGCAACAATTAATACAGAATAATAGACATGTAAATTTGGCACCTACAACTTACTTGGTGATATAGAGATCCCATATCTTCATGGCTGACGCATCCTTGCAAACACCTTCCTCCAAATCAATGCCCACTTTGGTGTTACCAGAAGCATGCTCAGCATATAAAGACGATATAATTTCTATCGCATTAAGCCCAGCATTATCAGACAATGTTTTGGGAACCATTTCAAAACTTTCAGCAAATTTTCCTATGGCATACTGGTCCAATCTGGAATTTATGATTAATTGTGTACATGTGAATAAGCACATAAATATGCATGGAATTATAACGGAAAAATTACATCTAAGCATAAAATAAGAAAGCAAAGCTAGATGATTAAAGGAAATCTGCAAAAACCTTTGCATGCTTTGGGCAAAAACATATTCCCAACTAATATCACAGCCAAACTGAAAGCCTTGGGCTCATAAAAAGAAATAAAAGACTTTTATCCAGAAAAGATCAAAGAACACCAAAAGAGCACACCCAAAAAAGTGTTCAACATATTTCCAATCCAGAGGATTCATAAAATATTTATAACATTATTTTCATCAAGAGAATAAATTAAATGAAAGACGAAACCTCTAAATATTATATGTGAATCTAGTTTGAATTTTAGAATGTCATAGAAATATTTGTAAGGGGGCAGTAATTATAATGAATGAATTTAATTCCTTTATTTTAAAATAAAATATACAATTGAAATCCCCAAGCGTTGTAACAAGTTTAGCTTTCTGTAGAACCCAAAATAAATTTAATATGGTGGAAATATATATTTCCACAAAGAAAAACAGTCATTCGAACCTTATTGTTGGAGCTTATGAATCATAAAATTCAAAACAATTGAGTGGTGGTTATGGTAATTTCGCTAGTCCCCAGGAGAGACTATATATTTTAACCAGTTATTAGGGAAGCAACGGATTAAGTGCCTTTAGAGTAATACACATTTTTCTTTATTACGCCAAGATAATTGTGTTTGGCAGTCGATGTGAAAGGAATATTGCAGGTCAGATAAGTCTACCAAACACTAAAGGTAACGAAGATATATTTGGAAAAAAATGGAACTATGAGCTATGCATAAATATATAAGAGCAAATACCCTGTTTCTTTGAAAGAAAACTCCTTCAGTCTTTTAGCTAGTTCAATTTCAGTTGCTGCTGCACCAGGCACAATCCGACTATCCCTGCACATTGCCTAGTGACAAGAACATGTGAAGTAGGATGAGATATATAGATTTTGAATGATGAGATATTATAATATTATTCACCAAAAGAACTGAAGTTGGTGAAAACTTCAAAGATTTATGAGACATCAAACACCTTATAAGCATTCACACCATCATCAACAGCTCTTTCAAGGTCATCCAATATGCTATCAGTGCTTCCCCGTAGAACAACAGTAGACACAGAGTTTCCACCTTGTTCATTTTTTATAACTGTTACCTACACAACATTAAATAAATCAATGGTCACAGAGAGTCAATGAAAACACTGAAGCACAAAAGAAGTATTGGTTGTCATACTCTAGCCCCGCCTATTTCTTCCACAGAAACAGAATCCACGTAGCCAAGATCATCGGGTGATGGTTGACTAAGCTTTAACTGTTATGTCACGATAAAAAGGTGGTTAGTGAGACAAAATTACCGAGCTTATATCAATTAAATTGTTCACTCACAAGAGCAACAGCACCAGTGGTGCGACAGAACCTCCGTAGTTCAAACTTAGAACTGATCTTTAAGACCATGAGCCTACAAAAAGATAACGTTGAAGTTTATTTTCTCATGGGAGGGGGAAACCATGTTTGTCCAACATGAAAATTATGACTACAAACTTTTAGAGAAGAAACCATCTATTGAATTGTTAAATTGAGCAAATAGAAGCCACATTGGCCAATAGGGGCTCTCAAAGCGCAAAAAATTCAGAGACCTGATGCAATAATCCTAATCCATTAATGTAAGAGTAAGGTGCCAACTAAGTTCAGTCATCAATGTTTTCCCAAGATATAGAAAAATTATTGAATAAATAGGAAAAACACCGCAAAAACTGTGCCAACATGTAAAAGAAAACACAAACACAAAAGCCAAAGCTTACATTCAAACAAAAAAAAATGTAAAAGTTAAAAAAGAAATGAATATAGCATGAAAACATTAACAGTCATCAACAAAGTGGAACATATCTACTTTCAATTCTCCAACCCGCTAAAATATTATAGTGTACACAACTGAAACATCACTTCTGACGTATACAAGATAAGGAGACAACTTATTAAAACTACCAAATAAAAACCATCAACTTGAATGCACACAATAAATACAAAGCATCAAGAGCCCATAAGACTTATGCCACAAGTAAAGAAAATTTTTGCATGAGCAGCTTGAGAAAATTCAATTGAATAATTTAATCAGATCAATTGAGGTTGTACTTGTAACGTTCGCAGAAATGTAATGCCATTTCCCCAACAGCAGCTCCACTAACAATGACTTTTGCACCTGAATCGGCGACCGCTTTGATTAGCTCCTCAACCTTAGCTTCTTCCGTCTTCGCATAATTCTCAAGCTGCAAGTAAAATAATAAGTTATAAACATGCATAACACATGAATATGGCTATAATAATTCCTTACTGGTGTTAAAACTATTTAAAGCACATATAAAACAACTATAATAGGAGAACAAAGTTTTGTATGCGTATGTGCATGGAACTCTGTATTTCAACAAATATTTACCATAGCAAAAAGTAGCCAAATTGCCTCATTCAAATGCAGAACAGTGTTAAAAAGTTATGACAGGAATAAATAAGTTTATTCAAACACCAATTTTTCATTTACTATATCACATATCAACAATCAATTTTATATTCAAAACATCATATTAAACATCTTATAGATCTCATCAAAACCCTAATTCATTTCAAATTTATACTATTACCACAAACAAACAAACCCAAAAATTGAAATGGTGATATTCTCAGGTCCACCTGCTCAGCATTGTGAATCAGAACAGTTCCTTTTGTCTCTGTTGCGGTTGTATCAACACCCCCAACAAAAACAGCAACCTGCAAAAATGAATAAATATAAATTATTTTTTACAATGGAGGTGGAATGCAATCGAGAATCATAACCATTCAGACAGGCACAAAATTTCAATACAATTGAGCAATCAATTCAGCACACTACTGAGAAAGAAGATATTTATGAATGTCATTTGTGTTCCTCTCCCTTCCTTGCTCTAACTTGTTAATGATAATCTAAAAATATCATCAACTCTATCAGTATTTTAAGTCTTTTGTTTTTGTTTACCGATGAATATTATGAAAGCCCATATATTGCACAACCACATGCTTCAATTGTTGATCTTGTAGATTAAATTTTCACATTCAGCTATTGTTATTGCCAAAAAGATAGCTGCAGCACTGAACAGAATTTGATAAATTATAGCTATCCAAGATATATCAGATTGAGAAAACAAAAAGGGCAAAATATGACTAAGACTCATCAGCATTTGAAATTAAAGACCAAAACAGCCACAAACTAACAGTTCCAATTTCAATGCTCACCTTGGCCTTCTCCATTCTCTTTATAGACCCAACAGCATCATTCTTCAAAACCATACCTCTAACAACAGAAGAATCATGCAGACCACCGCCTAATAGCTTCACAACTCTTACATTATCCACATTAAAATTTGCTGGGTTCTTGGGGCAAACTTGTATACAAGCCTTTTAAGAAAAATGCATTGCAAATCAATAATACAAAATGTTAATCAAAATAGAAAACAGTAGAAATAAATTTACCTCTGCAATAAGAGGGCATAGTATGTCCTCTTGTCCAAACTGTTTGCTAGCTACTGGAGATCTCATTCGTAAAATGACACTTTCTCTGTCTCTCACATTCATATTTTCTGAATCTTTTTCAACCAACTCCTCCAGTACCTCAATGGTCTACAATAGAGAAATGCCATGACAGGAATCAAGAGAAAATGTAACGTATGATCACAGAAGCTGTCATGTTCAGCGATAACCATAACCAATATCCAAACCTTATTGATTGCCTTTGTATATCCCATGATTATCTCACTAGGGTGCAATCCCATCCTGATGAGTTCTTCTGCATTTTGAAGCAGTTCTCCAGCAAAAGATACTGTCAAATTCGCTCCATCCCCAATTTCTTCTTGCTGAGCTTTCCCAGCTAAAACCAAGATTTTAGCTGCAGGATGCTGAACCTCCAGCTCATTTACAATAGTCGCAGCATCATTTGTGATAAAGAGTTTGTCCAAATGATTGATAACCATCTTATTCATGCCTTAACAAGAAAATGAGAACATATAAGTATAATTAACGAATGAACGATAGAATGATCTACAAATATTTAATACCATAGCTTGTAAGTAAACTATATAAAAGCATGTAATGATAAAATCACAAATATCTGACGCTAACTGTAACATCTAAAAAGAATCACTACACTCGTCATCATCAGGGTCTATTTCAAGCAAACACAACAGAAACCCATTTCCTTCCTCAAATACGTTTAGGGCACACAGAAATGGTGCAGAGAAAAACATTTGCTTTTTTTTTTATATATATATATATATATAGTTTTGGTAAAACATTACTTATCACCGATTAGTTCTAAAAAAAACCCTAGATTCCTATATAGCAAACGAAAGGGAGAGGGAATGAAATTTTCAAAAGAGAATAAAGAGAGTAACCATTGGGCCCAAGGGATGTGCGAGTAATTGTTGACAGTTGCTTGCAAGCATCGATGTTTTTTATCACTGCCTCATCCAGTCCAGACAAGTGCCGGTGCCCCTCTTTCAGCATTGACTGTATACCGTATGGCTGCATCGAAAACCCTACCATTTTCCCTCCCAGGGACTCTTAAGCCTGAAAATTACAAACACCAAGCAAAGACCTTTAAAACTCTCAAATCTAGTTTAACACGAGACTCGGAAGCTGAACTTACAGAAGGTGCGGTACGGTGCGGCCGGCGTGGGAGAGGAAGAAGGGGAAAGGAGAAGACAGCGCTATTAGGGCTCTGGTGAAGATGGATTCCAGAAAGCAAAGACCTTGAAAACTCTCAAATCTAGTTTCAACGAGAGACGGAAGCTGAACTTACAGAAGGTGAGATGCTGTGCGGGCGTGGGAGATGAAGAAGGGGAAAGTAGAAGAAAAGAAAGATGGATTCCAGATTTCATATATTGAAGACAATTATTATCATTGTTAGAATTTAAAAAATATATTAATATTTTAATTATATTTAATATAAACATAATTTTATTTTTATTTTATATAAAAATAATAATATAATAGTAAAAATAAAAATATTTATAAAAATAAATAAGATACTCTGTCCAACTACAGTGTCAATTTTTTTTTTTTTTATAGACAAGTGAATTTAAAAAATATATAATTAATAAATAATTAAAAATATATAACTGAAAATAATTATGTATAATAAAAATAATTTTAAAATAAAATTAAAATAACTTATTAATATTAAACTATATATAAAAAAAGCTATCAGAATAAATAAAACAGATGAAAATAAAAAGATAAATATTATAAATAAGAAAAAGAAAATATATAATTACTAAAATAAAATAATTAATTTGTAATTGTATAATCTAGATATATATATAAATGGACGGAAGAATTATTTTTATTGAACCGATTATTATTCATTTCCGGTTATATTCTCCTTACAAAGTTATTACTCCATGTGCTATTATATACTCCATTCATCCTTGCGTTCTTACTGGTCCGCCTATGAACTTGGTTTTCGATCTCGTACTTAGCATCTGACTGTCTGTCGCCGTCTCTTCAGAACAAAGCTTTGATACCTGTTACGTACGAAATTTAGAATTAGGTTAAAAGCCCAAGGTAAAAAGAAGAATGGGCCGGGCAATAGGGTTGATTGAACTGGTTGAAGGACACCGTGAGGAAATCAAGGAAAATAGATTTATTTCTAAGGAAAATACAAGACGGAAGGTCCTCAGGTCGGTAGGTCCTCAGGTCGGTAGGTCCTCAAGACGGAAGGTCCTCAAGACGGTAGGTCCTCAGGTCGGAAGGTCCTCAAGACGGAAGGTCCTCAGGGTGGAAAGACCTCAGGTTGGAAGGATCTCAGGTCGGTAGGTCTTCAAGACGGAAAGACCTCAAGTCGGAAGGTCTTCAGGTCGGGAGGTTCTCAAGATGAAAAGACCTCAGGTCGGAAGGTTTTCAGGTCGGGAGGTCCTCAAAACGGAAAGTCATCAGGACGGAAGGTCTTCAGGTCGGTAGGTCCTCAAGACGGAAAGTCATCAGGACGGGAAGTCCGCAGGTCGGGAGGCTTTCAGGTCGGGAAAAGGAAGAAAGTTAAGATCTCAAGAATTGATCTAAATCCAGACCGAAGTCGGGCAGACGCGGAGGTCTGTTAAGAGGAAGGTCGGGCAAGGAAGAGGTACGGACAGATGCGGAGGTCTTCGGTCGAAGACGGAGGGCGGCTGATGCGGAGGTCGGCCCAAGCGAGGTCGGGCGAAGAAGCAGGTCGGGCGAAGGACGAAGTCGGGCCAAAAGAGCGGAAAGCCTGTGGTCGGTTCAAAGAGTGAAATATAAGGATAATTTTGGTCTGCTGAGGACACGTGTCAGCATGAAAAGGGTTGGAAGACGGTTGGGAAGGAGACGTTGTAACCGTTCGGGTGACGGTTTTTCAGTACGGTTTCCCAGAGAATATTTAAAGGTTTGAATCATCATTTGGCAAGATATCTTCAATCAACTTCAACAAAGCAAAGTCAGATTTGGGGATCACCACTTTAAATTTCAGTCTTTTATTTTCCAGTTTATTGTCTGTACGTTACAGTGTTTAGAGATTCCTAATCTCAGGCACTAATTAATCAAGTTTAAGGATATTTCTCATATCTTTGAATTTTACTTTATTTTTGTTGAAAAAATACATCAACAAATTGGCGACCACAGTGGGAGCAAGACAAAATTGCTCATTCCAATTCCGGCGATAATTTCATACGTCTTAGATCCGGCCGAATCATCGGAAGGGTTATGGCAGGTTCACAACCGCAAGCATCTTCGGCACCGGTGGGAGAATCCGTTCCACCACCCATTGTGCCGAATGCCGGGGAAATCCCACAACCACCAACTGATTGGTGGTCTTATGTTCAACAAATGAACAACCAGCATACCTTGGTTATGCAGAATATGTTGCGTGAGCAACAAACGAACATGTTGCGTGAGCAACAGAGTCAGTTGCAGAACATGATAGATCAAGCACTGTCAAGGGTTAGTCTTCAACCCACTCAAACGCCACCAGGAGTGTCACCGTCCAGACCACAGGCAAATTTCGCAGGGCCATCATTCGTGGATAGTACATTCCCAAGTGCCACAAATCCCAACCGAATGGATAGGGGAAAATCTCCTTTGACTTTTCCCAACAATGTTCCACTGGGACCAAGGGTTACCAATCCGCAGCCGAGCAATACAAGGGAGGACAGGCCTGAAGGATATATACATGATCCTATTCATATTCCTGTGCAGGATCCGTTCCATGTTCCTGATCATCAACGCTTTCATGTAGATCCTGACGAGATTGCACATATATTAAGGGATCAGTATGGATTAACTCCTCAGATGGCTAACCGCCCTGCATATCAGAGACCTTTCCCAGAAAGGATCATTAATGAACACCCTCTCCCAAGGAATTTTCGACCACCCGACTTTCATGCATTCTCAGGGGAGGACGGATCTTCCACCATAGAACATGTTGGTCGGTTCACAGCACAATTAGGAGAAGTTGGCAATAACCCTTTTTATAAGTTACAGCTGTTTGGTTTATCTCTTACTAGAACGGCGTTTTCGTGGTTTGTAAGTTTGCCTCCAGGACAAATTCAGACATGGGAAGGACTGGAGATGGCATTTCATGCTAGATTCTTTAATCCTTTACCAGTTGTTTCTTTAACTGATTTACTTGAATTGAGACAGTATCCAGAAGAAACTGCTTCACAGTTTATAGAAAGGGTGCGATTGATGAAGGGACGATGTCCTACGGTAATCAGTGAGAAAGAGATGACCAATTTAGTGGTCCGGAATATGCATACTCGTTTAAGAAAGGCACTCACTGCCCTGGATGTTGAGGATTTAGCAAGTCTTGCATCCAAGGCAGGGCGTCTAGAGTCTTTGTTCAGAGAGGAAGATCAGCATAACAGGCGTAATAGAGGCCAACATATGGCGAGTATGGGAACAGAAACATGCGACTTTGATTTTAATCAGTCAGAAGAGATGGCAGCCGAAATCCTTTCTGGAAAACCGTATGTATGTCCTAAATTGAAGCCAACACCAGGATCTGAAGGAAAGGAGCAACCGACCTTTGATAGTTCGAAAGCTGATGAAATCTTTGATATCCTTCTGACTGATGGGCAGATCCGTATTCCAAAGGGCCAAAGACTTGCCACTAAAGAAGAAATCAAAGGGAGACCATATTGTAAGTGGCATAATTCTTTCACACACACTACAAGTCAGTGTACTCATTTTAGGAAGGAAATTCAAAAGGCCATCAAGACAGGTCGACTCAAATACATCACTCTAGGTGTAGACCAGCAACCGTTTCCGAATGTAACAACGGCAATGGTTGACATCCAACCAAGTTCGGAAACAGGGAAAAGTTCGGCCAATGATGGACTTACAGGGGAACGAACTCAGGCAAACCCTGGAACTAAAAAGGGAAGTCAGCCAAACAGTGGCCGACCGGAAGAACGACTCAAAGTTGTTGAAAGACCAGTCGCTGAAAAATGGGACCGACCAGACGGTTCGTTTAACGTGGAGGTGAAAGAAAGGGTTGTAGTACGTGACCACCCGACCAGAAAAACAGGGTCGGTCGGGGGCAATTGGGCTCGAAATAAAAAGCCTTTACCAGTTGATATAGACCCTCGTTTCCCGGGTATGAATCGTACACAGATTCGCAATGCCAAACGCAGGTATGCTGCAAAGTATGGGAAACGAGGTCCTTCAATGAAACAACTAACCGACGAACAAAAAGCAGCCGACCACTTGGCAGGAGATCAGTCCATTCGGGTCTTTACAGAACAAACGACTAACGAGCAAGGAGTAGCCATTCAGTCTCCAGTTGGTCGGTCCAGTCGGGTCTGGTCAGGAAAGCAACCGAATGACGGATTAGGCACTTCCGACCATACCAAAAGAAGTTCGTCGGGACAGGGGAAAGGTAAAGGAGTGGCAGATGAAATAATTAAAGGTTTTAGATGCCAACATTGTGAACGGATCAACATCAATCCATCTCTTGAAGAATTCCGTATTGAATCTTTGACGGTTCAATCCCAATCTCGGGATAAGATAAAGGAAGAAATAGTAACTACAGAGGAAAGTTCAAGATCTGTTAAATCTCGTCTGGGACCACGAATCCCTTGTCGAATGACAGAGATTAATCAGATGAGTGATGAACCGATGTGGGCGAGTCTGGTAGATGAGACTATGGATGAACCTTTATGGGCATTCTTGGCAGATGGTGAATTAGAGGAGACAGAGGGGGCAAAGGCCTCAGATTCCGATCCTCATTCGGAAACACCTTCGATTGTGTTTCCTCCTATTCCAGAGGGTGCGATCTCTCACTTGAAACCTCTGTATGTTAATGCTCACATTTGTGGGAAACCAATCACTAAGGTTTTCGTGGATAATGGAGCAGTCTTTAACGTTATGCCATTGAAGACCCTCAAGAAGTTAGGGAAAGGAATTCATGATCTGTCTCCTGTGGAATTCGAAATGACAAGTTTTACAGGGCAGCCGACTAAGCCTGAAGGCATGATGGTTGCCACAATCGAGGTCGGACCAAAGAAGATCTCCACTGTTTTCTTTATTGTGGACGCAGATACTACATACTCTCTCTTGCTGGGAAGAGATTGGATTCATGCCTCTCAATGTGTGCCTTCAACCCTGCACCAACAATTAATGTTCTGGGAAGGAAATCAGGTCTTCAAAATGGAAGCGAATGATAATCCATTCGATGTAACAGAACAAGTTGAAGAGTCAGTGTTTTACTCCAGTCAGGTGGCTCCGATGTCTCAGTTGTACATGGCCAGGGAATACCCAATCAAGGGTTATAAAGTCACTGGCCAGAACTCGATGTTCTATTAAAAGAACACCTTTATTGTATGGCTCATGATAAAGCCACACCCATTCCCG